TACCGTGTGCAAATTGTTATTTGTATACATATCTCTGTGTGGCAGACATAAGACATTTCCGTATTTTCAAGAATGATCACAAAATCCATTAATTAAGTTCTCGGTTATGTCTCTAAATCCACTCATGCACCATGCATGTCCCAATCTGTCCCCTGCCTCTCTTGATCCTTGTCTGTCCCATGCCTTTTCTGATCTTTGCCTGTCCCCTGCCTCTCCTTATCTTTGCCTGTCCTATGCCTCTCTGCATCCTTGCCCATCCTCTGGATCCTTGCCAGTCTCCTGCCTCTTTCGATCCTTGACTGTCTCCAGCCTCTCCTGATCTTTACTTTACTTGCCTTTCTGGATCCTTGCCTGTTTCCTGCTTCTCCGTGACCTTGTCTTTCCTCTGCCTCTCCAAGACCTTGGCTGTCCCCTGTCCCTTTTGATTCTTGTCTTTTTCCAGCCTCTGTTGATCCTTGCCTTTCCTCTGGATCTTTGTCTGTCCCCATCCTCCACATCATTGACAGTCCTCTGCCTCTCACGAACCTTACCTGTCCACTTGATCCTTGCTGATCAATCATCATCTTTTAATCACTGCCTGTTCCCTGCCTCTCTCGATCCTTGACTGTCCCAGCCTCTCTCCATCCTTGACTGTCCCTTGCTTCTCCCGATCTTTACCATTCCTACTCCTTTTTGGATCCTTGCCTGTCCTATGCCTTTCTGGACCCTTGCCTGTTCTCTGTTTCTCCATGACATAATCTGACCCCTGCCTCTCTAGGTCCTTGGTTGCCCCCTACCCCTCTAGAGACTTGTTTGTTGCCTACCTCTCTCACTCCTTACTTGTACCCTGCCTCTCCCAATCCTTGCCTGTCCCATACCTCTCTTGATACTTAACTGTCCCCTGCTTCTCTTGATCCTTTGCTGTCCTATGCTTCTCTCAAGCCTTGCCTGTCTCGTGCCTCTCAGTCCTTGTCTGTCTCATGCCTCTATCTCTTGCTCCTTGCCTGTCCCTTGGCTTTCTAATTCCTTGCCTGTCATGCTTTGCAGCATGTGAGTTGCTTCAAAAGCACCAGAGGACTTTAGCTAAACAGTAGAAAGCATGTATGTGTGATGAAAAAGGGAATAAAAGAAAAAATAAGGAACAACAATAGTAACTCAGTGAAAAGGATAATATAAATATATGACTAAGGCTAGGTTCACACCTATGGGTTTGGTAAAGCTCGTGTCTGTATGGGCACAACAGCCCATTCACTTGAATGGGCTGCTCTACCTGTGGGAAATGCAGGAAAAAAGATCCCTTCAGCCGCAGGGTAATCGCATACCATTTTTTGCACCATGCAATTTCCTGCACCAGCACTGTGTGTTTAGATGCATGGGGGTGCCATTAAGAATGCATGGCAGTCCTGCACATCTGTTAAACAGCAGAGTGCTCTAGCTGCGGGTGGTTTCAGGTGTGGGAAAAGGTGCAACCCACAACCACATGTGCAAGTATGAACCACGCTTTAAATGCAAACATGAATATCTATTTTAAATTTAACTTACTTCTATTACTGAAACTTTACTTCCTTTACTATATATTTACTTTTCTTAGTACTCAATGAAAATATATCTAATATACACTATAATGCCAAAAGTATTGGGACATCCCTCCAAATCATTGGATTCAGGTGTTCTATTCACCTCCATGGGCACAGGTGAATAAAGTCAGGCACCTTGGCATGCAGACTGCTTCTACAAACATTTGTGAAAGAATGGGTCGCTATCAGGAGCTGAATGAAATCAAGTGTGGTACCGTGATAGGTTTCCACCTGTGCAATAAGCCCATCCGTGACATTTCCTGCCAACTAAATATTCCACGGTCAACTGTTAGTGGTATTATAATAAAGTGGAAGCAACTGGGAACAACAGCATCTCAGTCAAAAAGTGATATACCGCGTAAAATGACAGAGCAGGTCAGCACATGCTGAAGCGCACAGTGCGCAGAAGTCGCCAACTGTCTGCAGAGTGAATAGCTAAAAATCTCCACACTTTGTGTGGCTCTCAGATTAGCACAACAACAGTGCATAGAGAGCTTCATGGAATGGGTTTCCATGGCCGAGCAGCTGCATTAAAACCTTACATCACCAAGTGGAGTGCAATGCAAAGTGGCGGATGCAGTGGTGTAAAGAACGCCGCCACTAGACTCTAAAGCAGTGGAGACGTGTTCTCTGGAGTGATGAATCACGCTTCTCTGTCTGGCAATCTGATGGACATGTCTGGGTTTGGCAGTTGCCAGGAGAATGGTACTGACTGCATTGTGCCAAGTGTAAAGTTTGCTGGAGGGGGAATTATGGTGTGGAGTTGTTTTTAAGAGATTGGCCTTGACCCCTTAGTTCCAGTGAAGAGAACACTCAAGGCGTCAGCATACCAAGACATTTTGGACAATTTAATGCTCCCAGTTTTGTGGGAACAATTTGGAGATGGACTCTTCCTGTTCCAACATGACTGTGCACCAGTGTACAAAGCAAGGTTCATAAAGACATGGATGAGCTTGTTTAGGGTGGAGGAACTTGAATGGCCTGCACAGAGTCCTGACCTCAACTGATAGAACACCTTTGGGATGAATTAGAGCAGAGACTGCGAACCAGGCCTTCTTGTCCGACATCACTGTCTGACCTCACAAATGCGCTTCTAGAAGAATGGTCAAACATTCCCATAGACACACTCCTAAACCTTGTGGACGGCCTTCCCAGAAGAGTTGAAGCTGTTATAGCTTCACAGGGTGGGCCAACTCAATATTGAACCCTATAGATTAACCGTTTCAATACCGTGCAATTTTACACCTTCCTGCCCAGGCCATTTTTCAGGTTTCAGTGCTCTCACACTTTGAATGACAATTGCGCGGTCATACAACACTGTACCCAAACTAAAATTTTATCATTTTTCTTCACACAACTAGAGCTTTCTTTTGGTGGTATTTACTCAATACTGGGGTTTTTATTTTTTGCTAAATTAACAAAAAAAGACCAAAAATTTTGAAAAAAAAACCCACATTTTTCTTTGTTTCTGTTATAAAAGTTTACAAATAAATAATTGTTCTTCATAAATTTAGGCCGAGATGTATTCTGCTACATGTCTTTGGTGAAAATAACCCAAATTAGGATGTATTTTTTAGTTTTTAGGAAAGTTATAGAGTTTCACAAACTATGGCATAGATCTGAAAATTGATCAATCCTGAAGTACTGATGGCCAATCTAATTTCTTGAGGTCCAAGAATGTCAGAATAGTACAGATATCCCCAAATGACCCCTTTTTGCAGAGTAGACAGTCCGACGTACTTCATAAGAGGCATGGCGAGTTTTTTGAAGTTGTATTTTTTTGTCATAATTTTTCGGAAAATGAAAAAATGAAAAAAATTATTTTCACTATTTTTTTTTTTTACATACTGTCACCAGTGCAGTACAGCGTTATCATATAACTGGCATGGCGGTGAACAGGGACACTGACTGGTGACAGTATGAAAAAAAAAATATATATATATTTTTTTTTTTATTATATTTAATTTTTTATTACATTTTTTTTTATTTTTTTTAAGATTTTTTTTTCATATTTTACTATGACCAAAATAGTACAATGTTACCATAGTAACATTGTACTACTTTGGGGAAGTGATCAGTATTTTTTTTTTTTTTTTACACAATTTGCTTATAGCAAAGAATTACTTTGCTATAAGCAAGCATTTACCTGAATGAAATCGATTCATTCAGCTTTTTTTTTTTTTTTTTTTTTTTTTTGTGCTTAGCTGTGATTTGGTCACAGCTAATCACATGACATGTGCATGTGATTAGCTGTGACCATTCACAGCTAGGCACTAGTATACAATGGATGGCATCATGAATGAAGCCATCCATTGTATACAACTGTCATGTGACCTGCTGTGATTGGTCACAGCAGGTCACATGGTACCAGCAACGGGAGCCGTTACTCGGATCTGTCATCGGCCGTGTCCGAGGTGCACGGCTGATGACAGATCGCACTGCTGCGCCGCTCTGCATTAGCGCAAACGGCGCATGTGCGGGAGCACGCCAAATGGCGTGTACCCGGAACGGAGAGACACTTCTGAAGCCGCCAAACGGCCATTGGACGGGCGGCTAATGGTTAAGACTGTTCATGTAAAGACAGGTGTCCCAATCCTTTTGGCAATATAGCGTAAAATGACAAATTATATCATAAATATAACTATGAAAAAATGAAACGTGAATATTTATATTAAATATAAATTACTTCCCTTCCCAAGTGTCATTATGATGACAGTGTTATTTTAGTTATATTTCAATCTTTCTATTATTTTGATTGTTTTTGTATATCAAAACCCTCCCGGAAGCTCTGCATCCACACTATGTGGCACAGATGAAAGTCTCAATCTACATTTTAAGTTAAAATGGGAGGTAGACTCCAATTGCATCTGCTTAATGCCACTATCTCCCTTTCTACTTAATTACAACTGTAAAACAATCTAAATATACAAACAGAAGGACAGTGCTATATTAATGGTTTTAAAGAAGCTCTGAAGCGAAATTGCTCTGGAGGGAGTAAAAACACAGTAACATGTGGGAAGTGGCTGCTGTAGTAAAATATAAACCATGCATTATAAGAAATGATGTGAACTAGAAACATTTATATACCGTATTTTTCGCTCCATAAGACGCACCTGACCATAAGACGCACCTAGGTTTTAGAGGTGAAAAACAAGAAAAAAAAAATATTCTGAACCAATGGACTGCAGACACAGTACAGGGGATGACCAGAGACTGCAGACACAGTACAGGAGATGACCAGAGACTGCGGACACAGTACAGGAGATGACCAGAGACTGCAGACATAGTACAGGAGATGACCAGAGACTGCGGACACAGTACAGGAGATGACCAAGAGACTGCGGACATAGTACAGGAGATGACCAGAGACTGCGGACAGTACAGGGGATGACCAGAGACTGCGGACATAGTACAGGAGATGACCAGAGACTGCGGACATAGTACAGGGGATGACCAGAGACTGCGGACATAGTACAGGAGATGACCAGAGACTGCGGACACAGTACAGGAGATGACCAGAGACTGCGGACACAGTACAGGAGATGACCAGAGACTGCGGACAGTGCAGGGAATGACCAGAGACTGCGGACAGTGCAGGGAATGACCAGAGACTGCGGACAGTGCAGGGGATGACCAGAGACTGCGGACAGTGCAGGGAATGACCAGAGACTGCGGACAGTGCAGGGAATGACCAGAGACTGCGGACAGTGCAGGGAATGACCAGAGACTGCGGACAGTGCAGGGAATGACCAGAGACTGCGGACAGTGCAGGGAATGACCAGAGACTGCGGACAGTGCAGGGAATGACCAGAGACTGCAGACAGTGCAGGGAATGACCAGAGACTGCAGACAGTGCAGGGAATGACCAGAGACTGCAGACAGTGCAGGGAATGACCAGAGACTGCAGACAGTGCAGGGAATGAGCAGAGACTGCAGACAGTGAAGGGAATGACCAGAGACTGCTGACCTTTGGGGAGGGAGGGGGAGCGGGTACCTGAATTTGACAGGTACCCGCTGCCAGTTCCGCGGAGTTGCCTTCCCTCTTCTTCACGGGCCGGCTTCTGTGACAGCCGGGTGCCCACTGCGCATGTGCGAGAAGCGCTTCGCTTTGTGAATGGGCCGGCGCCTTCTGGGACCTTTCATGTGTCCCAGAAGACACCGGATCATTCACAAAGCGCAGCACATGCGCAGTGGGCACCCGGCTGTCACAGAAGCCAGCGCGGGAAGACTGTGCAGCGCTGGAGCGAGGAACAGGTAAGGCCCTGCAGGAGACAACAGCTGAGCGGCTGGCCCGGTATTCTGACATGGTGGCCGCAAAAATACCGGACCGGCCGCTTTATATTCGCTCCATAAGACGCATTGACATTTTCCCCCCTTTTTTGGGGGGGGGAAAAAAGTGCGTCTTATGGTGCGAAAAATACGGTAACTGTTTTTAAACTGTAATTTAAAGAGGTCCCTACACTTACAGCCCAAGTGCAGAAATTAAAAAGTGCAGCATGTGAGTAAGGATTCTGCTGGACAGACTCGTTAGTGAGAGAGAATGAATAAAATAAGTATTGAACACGTCAACATTTTTCTCAGTAAATATATTTCTAAAGGTGCTATTGACATGACAATTTCACCACATGTCGTAACAACCCATGCAATCCATACATACAAAGAAACTAACACAAATAAGTTCATAAATTAACCACTTGCTCTCCAGAGTATTTACCCCCTTCCTGGCCAGGCCATTTTTTGTGATACGGCGCTGTGTTACTTTAACGGGCAATTGCGCGGTCATGCAATGCTGCACACTAATTAAATTTACGTCCTTTTTTTCTCCACAAATAGAGCTTTTGGTTGTATTTGATTCACCTGTGCATTTTTTTGGGCGCTATAAACAAAAAAAGACTGACAATTTTGAGGAAAAAAAAGAATATTTTTGACTTTTTTGCTATTTGTCCAGTACAAAATTTTTAAAAATCAAGTTTCATCATAAATTTAGGCAACAAAATATAGTCTGCTACATGTCTTTGCTAAAATAAAATCCCAACACGTGTAAATTAATTGGTTTACGTGAAAATTATAGATTTTACAAATGGCGGTATATATAGTGGAAATTTTTTTTGTTACTAGTAATGGAGACAATCAGCGACTTATAGTGGAACTGTGGCAGGCATTCTGACACTGGGGAGAACTGACTTGGTGTCTCTGACATCCCCAGTGACGCCAATACAGTGATCAGTGCTAGTAAAAAGCACTGACACTGTACTAATGGCACTGGGCAGGAAGGGGTTAACATCTGGGGTGATCAAAGGGTTAACTGTGCTGTTTCACTATGGGGGGGCCGATTGTGTGCCTCACTGTAAGCACACTGCTTTGTATGGCTCTGCTATATGTATATATATATATATATACACACCATATACTGTATGTATATATACGTGATTTTGTACACCCGCGCTGCCCTGTAGCAGTATTTCTGCTATAGGGCGGCGTGGAACTGGTTAAAAAGAATAAATAGAATAATAGAATAAAATGGAATGACACAGGGAAAAACTATTGAACACATGAATAAAGGGAGATGCAAAAAGGCATGGAAAGCCAAGACACCAGCTTAAATCTGTCAGTAGTATAAAGCAATCTTGACCCTTGTCAGTGCAATTTAATATCAGCTGGTTCATTCTCAATTGATGGCCTATAAAAGAGTCTCTCATTACCAAGGTGTCACACAAGAAACATCTCATGATGGGTAAAAGCAAAGAGCTCTCTCAAGATCTTCGCAACCTTATTGTTGCAAAACATACTGATGGCATTGGTTGCAGGAAGTTTTCTAAACTTCTGAATGTTCCAATTAGCACCGTTGAGGCCATAATCCGGAAGTGGAAAGAGCATCATTTCACCATAAACTGGTCATGACCAGGTGCTCGTCGCAAGAATTCTGACAGAGGAGTGAAAAGAATTATCAGAAGAGTTGTCTGAAAGCCAAGGACCACTTGTGGAGAGCTTCAGAAAGACCTGTAATTAGCAGGTACAATTGGTTCAAAGAAAACAATAAGTATTGCACTCAATCGCCATGGCCTGTATGCAAGCTCACCACGCAAGACTCCAAAGCATGAAGCTTGTTTAAAGTTTGCTGCACAACATTAGGCATGCGTGTGAAATACTGGGAGAATATAGTCTGGTCAGATGAGACAAAAATTGAACTCTTTAGATGCCATAATACACACCATGTTTGGAGGTCAAAAGACACTGCAGATCACCCCCAAAAACACCATACCAATAGTGAAGCTTAGAGGTGGGAATATCATGGTGTGGGGCTGTTTTTCAGCATATGGTACTAACAAAATTTGCTGCCATCTACCAGGATGATGAAGATGAAACTTTTAATAAAAGTTACAATAGACACATAGGCAATCAGGAGCCCCAATAAGAGAGTGACAGAATAAATCATACACAGAAAGAACCCAAAAAATGTTATGGCTACACAAAGCCCAAATTTAGACAGTGCTTCAGCTATGTGCATGAAATGAATAATTTTGGTTAAAAAAAAAAAAAAATACACACACACACGCATACACACATTCAGTCATACGTACGCACCCACCCCCCCCCCCCGGTCATCAGTATGCCGCCCCCCCCCGCCTGCCTTCTCATCAGGAGAGAGAGAGCCCACAGCCACCACAGCAGCAGTGGTGTAGGAACCATCTTAGTTTGTGAAGACATATGACAGTGATTGAGATAGTGGAGTATCACGAATGAAGGAATCTGAGATGTCTAACCAGGGTTGCCACACTTTCATGAATTTTTAGGGCAAGCCAGACCTTTATAGTTTAACTTATATTTAGGCAGATCAAAATTAACCATATGATAGAACTGTTGTATGGAAGGTGGATTAGTATTTTTCCAATTCAGTAAAATTATTTTTCTAGAATAAAACAGAAACCTAAGTATTAATATTCTTGGATGAGTCTGAGGTATGAAATCCATCAAAATTCCCAAGAGACCCACTTCCGGGGTATGAGGCACTGGGAGATGTAGGATAGTGTCAAATAAGGCAGAAAGATCCTGTCAATACAATGTAAGTGCAGGACAGGTCCAAACGTGCAGCAGATAAGCAGCCTCAAAGCCACAAAAGGAAAAAGGCCGCAGATCCAAAACCCATTCGAGCCAACCTAGCCGGGGTACAATGACGATGGTGGATAAACTTAAATTGACTAAATTTATCAGCAGTACTAATGAGGTCTTGAAAACAGACCTCTGTAGCTTTCTCCCAACCATCTTCAAGCAGTTCAGAGAACACCGCCATCCACTTACGCTTAGCAATCTAGAATGGGTTGGCCCCGGCTGATTGAAGACAGGAATAGATACTGATGACCAACTTAGTAATATCTGGATCTAGCAATAGTAATTCTAAGAATGATTCCGAGAGCTCAAGAGTCAAGTTCCCAAATTGCGCCAGTATAGCAGCAAAAAATGTATGAAAGAATTTATTGGCCACCTTGTAACGGGTTTTGCCACATTGTTAATGAAAAATACAACAAAGAAGACCCAGCACTGTTGAGCAATTAAAATACTATATCAGGCAATAATAGAACAACATTCCTCTCCCAAAACTTCAGCAACTGGTCTCCTCAGTCCAAATCCCAAACGTTTGCACAGTGCTGCTAAGAGTAGTATGGATGCTACACCGTGGTAAACATGGCCCTATCTCAACTTTTTAAAGACGTATTGCTGCCATCAATTTCAAAATTACCTTTTTTTTTAATCTTTTAAAATTTGATTTGTTTTCTATTATGAATAAAATATGTGTTTATGAGATTCACAAACCATTGCATTCTGCTTCTATGTAGATTTTACACAGCATCCCAACTCATTTGCAATTGGGGTTGTGTATGTAGGTATGTAAGTATGTGTGTGTATATATATATAATTTTAACTGAAATTTTCTTTTAGGGCCTTAATAAATATAGTTTGTTTTTATTGGGACTTTGAACATAAAAAAACAACTACAGTGCTGCTTATTTCGACTTTCATCTTTTTTCTCCTTCACTCAGTTACTTCAAAAGCATATAGCAGACCAAACATTGGGAAAAAATTCAGGACTACGCTAAGTCACCAGCTTATAGAAATGTACTTTCAAATTCTGATGCTAAAGCTTCATACAGTGACCACTAACGGAATATTCATCAGAAAATAGCACTTTCATTTTTCTGGCCAGTGAGTAGCGTAAAACATCAGAAGAATAATAAATAAATACAACAACCTTCAGCACCTGTCGATAAACCTTCAGCAGCTTCCTGGCTTTGCTCAGAATAAAATGCTCACAAACAAGAAAGTTTAACTTATGGAACTGAGAAAATCAGCCATATATGATAGATTTAAAGAAAAATTCAATTTGAGTGCATCCACCAGCTTATGGAGTTAACAAATTGAGTTTATTCATGTTTGAAAACAATAACAATAAAATCATTTACTTTTTCACAAGCAGACAAGAAAAAAAGGTGTTAACCTTTAAGTTATAGGTGAAAGTAGGAAAGCACAAAAAAATAACATTATATATATTTGAAAAAAGTAAGTACACTCCTTCATTAAAATATATATTGCTTTAAATAATTTTTTTAAATGATAACTGACTCGATAACTGCATGGCGCTCAGGCCGCAAAGCAGCTTAGCAACTGCTAACCAGAAAATTTAATGGATGGAATAGTGTTGTTCTCGTAAAATGCTGTCAGAAAGCAGATCTTGCAATAATTACTCCACATTAACATAAAAATAATGAAAATGTACGTATAGCCAAAATGTTTTTCTTTTCATTTTGGATAGAGTATGGAAGGGTTAAAACTCTTGCCAGGTCCTTTTTTGCTGTCTGTGTACTTGGGAAGTTTCCTTTTACTTCCTGTCCTAGAGAAACAGGGAGTATGAATGGCTTCATTAGAAGGTTCTCCTTACTACTTGTTCTCGGGAAAACAGAAACAAACGTGAATCGACCCCAATTTTCCATTTCAGTGACAGTGGTCACCAGTACAAATAATGGGCTGAATATCCCCAAC